TTTACAATTGAATTAAATTGAATAACGTCCATTTTTTTGAAGTTTTCGAACTCATCAGGTAAATTATTTCTTTCAGAGCATATTAACCCAGTGACATCTCGTTTTCTACACACTATTGGAATACAAGACACTGGTATACCTTTAAAGACTGATGGAGGATGCACTGGAACAAAACTACCACCTTTGACTTTTTTTAATTCATGCATCTTTAGGCCAGTGCTGAGCACAAATTCGCTTATAATCTGTAAACACAAAGTTTGCATTTGGAAGTTTTTTAATCCATAACTCGCAATCCTCGGATTTAAAGGGGAATCAAAAAAAGTTGAACATTGTGACATAAATATTATCTTTTACTTTTGATTTGTAATTTGAGGAGCAACCATAAACGCAGCATTTATTAGGCATTTTACGAGTTTAACTATTATAGTTTAAATCAAACAACCAAAATCCTCATTGAAACTATACTTCTCCGTAAAAAAGTCGGCCTTCGCTAATTTTACGGAAAATGAGCTGTCGCGGCCTGTTTAAGAAGGCCTTGATTAAAACAAAATAATTAATGTATATCAAGAAAAACTAATTTTGGAGTTTTAAAAAAGTTTGTTTTCTCCATTTTAGTCGAAATTTTAGATATTTAAAATGGAGACTCTGAGTTTGACTAAAACTACAAACTTAGTTTTTCTTGGTATATGTACAATATACACAAACTGTCTTGGAAATAGGGAATCCCTTTAAGGTAACATTTAACTTGTGAAAAGAATGTGATTTGATAGTTTGAAAATTTTTTTTAATTATGTTCTTTGCAAGCATTGTTAATATTAATATTGCATGACTATGGTACTATAATAATTATGATAATAATATAATATTAATATTGCATGACTATGAACTTTAATAATTTTATTTATACTTCAACTTTATACAAATAAACAATAATTTAATTGTCTTTCTTAATGATTTAAAAAAGATATAAGTAATTGAAAAAATATCACCATCAATCGTCAAATTTGGATACAACAACCTTTTTATAAAAGGTTTTTTTAAATAAAATTTAGAGCCTAAACTTGATTTTAAATCTAATTTATGAGATCATGAAAAAATTACATATGTATTTTTCATTTACATATGTATTTAACCATTTGTAACCAACACAATTGCAAATTATGATTTACCAATTTTGCCAAATCTGGCTCAACACCTGGCAAACTATCTTGATCAAATCAATTCACCAGATTTTATTCAAAAATAGTTTTTCTTAAATGAAATAAAATGTATTAGTAATTGAAAAAGATTTATAGGCTGTGATATGGATTTGAAACTTTGATGTTTTTTTAATGCATTAAATTAAAGATTTATAGGCTATATAATTATAGTTAATGCTGATATATATTTATTATACTGGACAGTTAATGCTAACAACTAATATCAACATTTGGGAACTCATTTCCAAAACAACAAATATTAATACTTTAAACTCTTAATTTTTATGTATTTATGTTATTTCTAATCCCGGCTTGGTCGGGAAGCGGGAGCGATCGCTCTCGATTGCTGACCACATTTGAAAAGTTTAACATATTTGAAGCAATTCTTCTTAGTAAGATAAACAAATGAAATAACTAAATCATTGAATTACTATAGACATTAAATTAACAATCAACTAAAAAGGTTAGAAACATGACGAGGAAGCGAAACTGCTTCACAGTATCGCTGATGATGTTTAGTGAGTGGGCTTTTTAATTAGTTAGTAATTCAATTAGTAATTAAAGCAGAAAAAAGTGTAACGAGTTTTTAAGAATGGCAAATGAAGGGAAAATAATTAGAGTTAGTAAACCAATATCAGGTTTGGTCGGGAAGCGGGAGCGATCGCCCTCGATTGCTGACCACGTAAATAATATTTAGTTGCGAAAAGCTGGCCAGATTTTTTAGTCGTTTTGAGAACATTTTAAAAAGCAAAAAAAAAAAAAGCGACTAAAATAAATTGGACCGATGAGAGACAATTACAAAAAAAAAATGTAGGCAAATAAAATATATTTAAACGCGAAAAAACCTTAAGCTAAATAAATTACACTTAGAACAAATATATTCTAAACATCGGTTTTTATAACTTTTTTTATAAAATTAAGCAATGTTTTTTATATAAAGTAACAACTTACAATTGTTTAAAAGAGAAACAAATATTCTTTATTTAACTAAATTTGAAAGTTTTAGTTTTACTTAAGCTTAATTTATTTTATAAATAAAAAAGTTAATTTTTTTAATACCTATTATGTTTCGCGTAGTTTGAAAAGTTTAACATATTTGAAGCGATTCTTCTTAGTAAGATAAACAATTGAAAAAATTAAATCATTGAATTATTATAGGAATTAAATTATCAAGATAGAAATCAACTAAAAAGGTTAAAAACACTTAATGACCAGGAAGCGATACTGCTTCACAGTATCGCTAATGATGTTTAGTAAGTGGGCTTTTTAATTTTAATTAGTATTTAAAGCAGAAAAAAGTATAACGAGTTTTAAGAATAGCAACTTAAGCGAAAATAATCAGAGTTAGTAAACCAATATCTAGAAACTTTTCTTTATATCTAAATATTTGCTATTATATATTTGTGTTCTGTCGTGACCTCAGGCGCAATGCTTGTTCATCCGCGAGTTACTTTGTATGCGTTGTTTGTGTTTAGTAACCAGAAACTTCTTATATGTTTGTTACATAATTAGTTTTATTAACTTTAACGATTATAACTTCATTAAAAACGCAATTATTTTTGCAAGTCTTTGTTTAAATCATAAAAATTGCTGTAAAAGATACATTACGATAAAAAACAAATACACAAAATTACATTTACATAAAGAATACAATCTCTTTTAAAATAAAAAATAAGAATATACTAATAAAATCTATGATTTATAATAAACTTTTAAAATTTTAACAATTTAATTAATATATATTTAAAACATTTATTTTTGTAAACAAATAATATATATTCTTAAAACAATTCTACAAATCTCAAAACGTAACAAATCGTGAACACTACAATTTCTAAAACATTTTAACAGAATACTCTAGAACTTTATTTCGCTTAATCAGCGTATTTTTTGAACCAATAGTATTAGTTTGTTTGTTAATTTGGCGGGTGTTTAGTGTTTGCAAATATTCTTTTTATTCTTTCGCACAAAGATGTTTTGAGAACATTCAAGTTTGTCATGTTTCCATGTATGTCCGTAAAACAAAAATTCTTTGTTTCGTACATAAACTTAAATGTTCTCAAAACGACTAAAAAACCTGGCCAGTTTTACGCAACTAAATATAATTTCCGTGGTCAGTATTCGAGAGCGATCGCTCCCGCTTCCCAACCAAGCCTGCAATATCTAGAAACTTTTTTTATATCTAATTATTTGCTATATATATTTGTGTTCTGTCGTGACCTCAGGCGCAGTGCTTGTTCATCCGCGAGTTTCTTTGTATGCGTTGTTTGTATTTAATAACCAGAAACTTCTTATATGTGTTACATGATTAGTTTTAATAACTTTAACGATTATAACTTTATTGAAAACGCAATTATTTTTGTAAGTCTTTGTTTAAATCATAAAAATTGCTTTAAAAGATAGATTACGATAAAAAACAGATCAACAAAATTACATTTACATAAAGAATACATACTTTTTAAATAAAAAATAAGAATGTACAAATAAAATCTATAATTTATAGTAAACTTTTAAAACTTTGACAATTTAATTAATATATATTTAAAACATTTATTTTTGTAAACAATTTATATATATTCTTAAAACGATTTATGCTAGAAATCTGAAAACGTAACAAATCGTGAGTAATACATTTTCTAGAACATTTCAACAAAATGCTGCAAAATTTTATTTCACTTAGTCAGCATATTTTTGAACCAATAGAATTAGTTAGTTCGTTAATTTGGTGGGTTTTTAGTGTTCGCAAATATTCTTTTTATTCTTTCGCACCAAGATGTTTTGAGAAAATTTAAGTTTTTTATGTTTCCATGTATGTCCGTAAAACAAAAATTTTTTGTTTCGTAAATAAACTTAAATGTTCTCAAAACGACTAAAAACCTGGCCAGTTTTTCGCAACTAAATATAATTTCCGTGGTCAGTATTCGAGAGCGATCGCTCCCGATTCCTGACCAAGCCTGCTAATCATTTTTGATTTTTGTCTTTTAACATGTATCTATTTCTAATTATATTTGACTTATAAATCGAGGTCTGTTAATAACTTGGTCTGATTTTGTAACTCAGATTTATTGTTGTGGAGCATTTTATTAGCCTGATCTTTGACTTAGACCATGTCTGAAGGATAAAAAAAATGATTTCTTGAACTTGAACCTTTTGGCTTTGACCTAGAACCTCTTGACTTGAGTTCTTAATCTTTAAACACTGTCTCTTTAAATTCTTTAGCCTGTATAACTTTGACCAAGAAAAATTTATTAAACTAATCAACAGTAGGGCAGTATAAAAAGATTTGATTATATCAAGATAAGTGTCATCCATTTAAACTAGATTTTGATTTCTAAGTAAAAAATTAGGCTTTAATTAATAATGATATTTTTATAGTTTAAAGCTAAAATAACCTATACCGAGTGCAAGGGTCTTTAGCCCAGGCCCCACAGTTTTAGGTGGCCCTGATTCAAAATAAAAGATTTTTAAAAAAGAAGCTCTGAAAATAAATTCTTTTATTAATGACAATGAAAAGAGGCAGTGATGAATTAAGATTAGTTGGGGCCTGGGGCTATTTTAAGACTTCAGTTTGAAAATAGCCCCGGCCCCCAAAAAGTCTTAATCTGTCTTTTCCTGAGCATAACAATAAAGAAATTTAAAATTTCATAATTTAAATTTTTATATTTTATAATAAATTAAATTTAATCCAATAAATTTAATTGAATAAAAATTTAATAAATCGCTAAAAAAAACTTGCAAAAGCACCCAAATAAAATAGATTTAAAGCTCATTAAAAATAAAAATGGAAAAACAATTACATACCAATAATAATGTATTTGAAAATATACGAGTAGTTATAAGGACCTCCTGCCATTTTTGATCTTCTTTGGTCAACCACAGAACTTTGTTTTGAAATAAGTATCAAATAAACAGACTATTTAGCTTACTTCTTAAACCTAAATATTTTTTATAATATAGTAATCAATCAATATTTATTTAATAAATTAATCTATAATTAAAAGATAAAAATATTTAATCTATAATTAAAAGATAGTTAATTGTGACAATTAAGAAGTTGTCAACTATTTTAAAATAAATGAAAACTTTTCTAATAATTTTTGTCAATCATAAAGTTGTTTAGCAAATCTTAATATAAACAATTACCAAGCATCCATTATCAATAGAGGAGATGCACAACTTTTTCTTACCTGTCTAGTTAAAATTTCATTTTTAAAAATCTTTTCAGGAAATATTACTTTCAGTACATTAATTAAACATAAAAAGTTTTTATCTTGATAATGGTTGCAATATTTCCTTAAAATCACCAACTAAATCAAAAATTAAATCACAAACCAAATTTAATCACAAACCAAATCATTCTTTGATAAATATATGCAAAAATTATTAAAACTTCTGTAATTTTTTGAACTGCTAGCAATTAAAATTTGGTTTTCAAACTAATCTAATTAAATAATTATTTATTGCAATTCAACTTGGCAGTACAACTATTAAATATTTTTATTTGAAATTTTTTTTTGTGATCTTTTTGCAAAGATTTTTAATTTCACAATTTAATATTGTTAAAAATAACTACAATTTGAGATGAGAATTAAAATCTCACCAATCAGTCACAAACTTTTACCTTACTTCGATATTAGCACATAATCATATATATATATGTATGTATATTAGCACATAATCATATATATATATGTATGTATATATATATATATATATATATATATATATACATACATATATATACATATATATATATATATATATATATATATATATATATATATATATATATATATATATATATATATATATATATATACATATATATATATATATATATATATATATATATATACATATATATACATACATATATATACATATATATATACATATACATATATATATATATATATATATATATATATATATATATATATATATATATATATATATATATATATATATATATATATATATATATATATATATATATATATATATATAAGATTTGGGCAGCCAGTCTACAAATCTACAAATGAAGAACATTTATTACAATATTATAAAATATTCTATGTTTCTTTTCACAATACCTAAAATTCTCTGTTTAAAAACAGTCTGGATTAAAGTCATTTTTTTTTATAATTAAAGCAAGCAGAATATATTAGTGCTGTGCTAATTTAAATGTGTAATTGGGTGTATATATTTGTTTACACACACACACACACACACACACACACACACACACACACACACACACACACACACACACACACACAGATTCATGTCAGGAATCTATTTTTTATTTTATAAACTGTATCCATATTGCTTAAACACTAAAACCTTTAAATAAACAGGACTAAATATACTAATTAAAAAGTCTAAGAGCATGTATAAAGTTGAGAAGCATCAATAAACACTTGGCATAAATTGGAACAGTAAAAACAACATCAATTTGATAAAGTAAATCCTGTTTTACAACAACAATACAAGTAAAATAATATATAATCCCTACACATAGGTGTTGACTAAACAAATCAGCTATTTGATTTGAATAAATTGTCTAAACTAAAATACAAAACAGTTATGTTAGTACAAACTTTATTTAATACTTGCATTATGAAATAATACATAATTTATATTTGATTTAGCTTAACTTGATACAGATTTATAAAGCTATATTTTACTGGTGCATTGTATAATGCAAATATTCAGTAAGATCGTTTTGTTACCGTTTGCCACGTTCATAATGATTTGTAAATGTTAAAACTTAGGTTTAACTAAAATTTAAGTTTCGTATATTACTAATTGAATTTAACAGCTATAAATGTAAAATGATTTTTCTTTGGTTATGATTACATACGGTTTATAATTTAAGGTAAAAAATTCATCTATAACAAGGTTGGTATTATTAATGGAAATCTTTATCTCTCGTTTCCATAACTTTATGCATAATTTCGTAAAACTCTAACAGATATTATTGTAACTAGCTTATTCGCTTAATTCGTAGCTGATAAGGTTTATGACGAAAGTTACGAGCCGTTTAAATGCCATAAAATACAAATGGCATCTTCTTATACGATCCCAGAATGCCATTAACAGAGGTTTTTAAATACTTTTAAATACAAATAAATTAAACAAACATAAAATTGAATTAACATAAATTTAAAAAATTTGAAAATTCTGTTTAAGTTTTTACTTGATATCCTGAAACCAAATATAAACTTATCAAAAAATAAAAACAACTCATCAAAACAAAAGATAATAACTATTTGGGTGTTGAGATGCGGTCGCTATAGCGAGGGCGGGAAAAAGTTGCAACTACTTTTTTACACAAATTGAATATGATCAAAAGAACAACTAGAAACAACAAGAGAAAACCAAACAAAAAAAAGTGTTCCAATAATATAGAGATTTGCAGATAATGCAAATTTTTTAAGAAGCAATAACTCGTATTAACTTGATAGAATTCAGTCCTTTATTTATTTTTTGTTGGTGCAATTAGTTCATGTTGTAAACCGTAATAAAAAAGTCTCTTAGATATTTGGTTTTTTTTTCAATTACAATGTTGAACACGATTTAAGAACTACAAAAAGGGCGATAAATAGCGTATTAATTGTATATAATTAAATATGTCCGGTTCAACAAACCGTATTTTTTTAAATGACGGGAAGTGACGTCAATAACTGAGTTCATAATAATATAAACTTAAAAGTTAAAACATGGTAGTTTTTAAGAAAATTTTACGGTAAGGCGTAATAGCATAACTTCGTATAATAATCTATGAAGGAAAGTAGTCATTGACATACTTTGGCTTTTTAATAATACGTCCTGTTCTTTATATATCACACTCGAACGAAAATCGTTTTTTTAAACAACCAAATTTGGTTTTACAATAAACTAACCAATTTTAAAAATCTAGGAAACCAATTCATTTGTGATTTTTAGGAAACCAGAAATATTAACAAACGCATTTTTTAATGCATTTTGTGTTTATTATTAATGATTATTATCATTATACTTAATTTAGCTTCACGAGTTCTATTTTGCAAATAGAAGTATTCCGTCAGTGATTACAATTTAATAGAAAAATTTAGGTTTATTGATTTATTTCTATATTTATATAATTATTTGATACCTATCTATATTAAGTTCCTTAATCCAAATGTATAAATAAATAATTGTAATATAAACAGATGACCAGACCCAAATCACAAGACAGTGTGCTTCCTGGCTTCCGCGGCCCGCACGGGGCTCTAACTTCACATTTTCTACTTAGAATGTGCGGCCAAAGGTGGAATAGGTGCGGGGTCCCCTAGGGCTGCCTGGCCCGCAGGGTCCTAGGCAGCCGTCTATCCCGCCGATGCTAAGGGCTGCCTCTTGATACATGTTACATACATGTCAGACTTTTCAGTCAACACTTTATAAGGCGTTAGATGAAAGGTCTGACTAATATGATTTCTCAAAGAAACATGTACCTCTGATAACACGATAGAGTGCTTGCTCATTTTTGTCTAAAAATGACTGTATTGAATTATAAAATAGTAAAAATTGTACTGATTAATTTCTATCAATTTTTATTCAAATAAATCAATATTACATGGGCATCTTAAAAACAGATATTTCTGACCACTTTCCTATTTTTCTAACCATAAACACTGACCAACCGCCTAAACAAAAATTAAATAAAGTTATTAAAAAACGTTTTTTTTATCCATCAAATATTAAGTCTTTCAAAAATCAGCTCTCATTATTACATTGGAAACACTTAAATTTTAATGAAAACGCAAACAACCTTTATGAAAAGTTCTTTTAAACATTCACCTCTGTTTACGAATCTATTTTTCCAATTGTTACAATTACATTAAAAACAAAACATTTTGATAATCCCTGCCGAACATTCATTTGATGAGTTTGAAAAAGCTTTCAAATCTTTAAAAAAAAATAAAGCACCTAGTGCAGATGAAATAAACGGAAATATTGTTATAGATTGCTACGAACAATTAAAAAATATTCTTTTTAAAATTTTCAGAGCATCTATTCATCAAGGTATTTTTCTTGAACGTTTAAAACTTGCTAGGGTTACCCCTATCCATAAAGAAGGTGACAGATCCAATATCAGTAATTATCGTCCCATCTCTGTTCTTTCTATATTTTTTAAAATTTTAGAAAGAATTATCTTCAATAGGGTATACAATTATTTTAATTACAACAACTTACTTCATAACAATCAGTATGGTTTCAGAAAAGGGAGTTTAACTGAACATGCCATTATTCAATTTATACATAACATCTCTGAATCTTTTGAAAATTCCCAATATACACTAGGAGTTTTTATTTACCTATCAAAAGCTTATGATACGGTCGATCATCACATTTTAATCCAAAAAATTAAACATTATGGTTTAAACAATAGAGACTTAAAATGGTTTGAAAGCAATTTAACAAATCGAAAACAACTTGTTTATAGTAATAATGGTCAGCAAGTGAACCACTGAGCATAACCTGTGGTGTTCCACAAGGTTCTATTCTCGGGCCACTACTATTTTTAATCTATGTAAACGACTTAAACAAAGCTTCCAAATTGAAAAGTATAATGTTCGCTGATGATACTAATCTTTTCTTATCCCATACTGATATTTATGAACTCTTTTCAACTACAAACAAAGAACTAAATCACATTTCTAATTAGTTCAAAGCTAATAAATTAACTTTAAATATTAACCAAACAAAATGAATTATCTTTCACTCCTGCGCAAAAAAACGTTTTTTACCAAGTAATATGCCTCAAATTTATATTGATGAAACGGTAATAAAAAGATATACTGTTATAAAATTCTTAGGTGTTTACCTTGATGAGAATATTACTTGGAGAAAACGTATTGATCATACAAGCACAAAAATTTCGAAAAATATTAGCATTTTATACAAAGCC